ATATATATATATATATACACATTTATTACTATAGTGTGTGTGTAGTATATATATATATATATATATATATATAAATGTGTATATATATACGTATATATGTGTATAGATATATATATATATGTGTATATATATATGTGTGTATATATATGTACACACACTCATATATATATACACACACATATACATATATATATGTGTATATACACACACTCATATATATATATACACACATATACATATATATATGTGTGTGTATATATATATAGGTCCACAGTCACGTGATCGAACAATGCGAATTATTATTCAAGATGACACTTAGAGAGATGTGATTAATTGGACGTCATTACCAAAATCCTTTCTACCGAAAATGAAAGTTAAGAATCAAAGGCTTTTCTCCTAATGGTCAAACCTGACAACAGTATAGCTGCAGTACATTCAAGAGGAAAGAAGAATCCATTTCAAGAAACAAAAAGTATTGAATGAGAGACGAACAGAGTCTTAGTTCTTCTGGACTAAGGAAAGGACCTACTTTAATTCTTCGATATGCACCAGTAACACAAATCACTGTAATAATGCCTAATAGTAGTAGGCTTAAGGTAATGATGGACAGTGATGACACCATTGCAGATGTTAAGGCTCATATTCGGTTTCATAAATAGAGGATAACTTACAACTCGAAGATCATAAGTCTCTTGTCGATTGTGGAAGTCAACATAAAAGTATGTTGCAATTAAGTTTGTTGAATATTAGCTAGCTAGTAAACAGGATGTTGTGCAGTTATTGTTATGCTCTGTTATTCTAATATGTATGATCAACTGTGTAATTTCACTTGTTATCAATATCATCGCTGGTTAAATTATATAAAAATTTCCTCATGTATTAATTTTTTAAAATTATACAATCAAATATCGTATGAGTAAGTTTCATATAATATTTGAAAGTTACCAACCATACCTTATATAAAGTTAATTCATGAAGAAATTTTATACAAGCTTTGTAAACTACAAATTATTAATAACTTTTGTCGTATCCCCTTATTTAGAAGAGGGAGTTGTGAAGGACTTATCTTTTGTGGGACTTTTTGTGTAACACGTGTATATGCTTTTTTAACCTAAAAATATGACGCGTGTGTCCAAGCTACCTCAAAGTTCTTTCTCCTTGAAATCTCTCTTCTTCCAGCCGAGCTTCCATTTTTTTCTTCTCCAACTTTCTATCTATTTTCTCTTCCATTTTGGTTTTTTGCTCACACTGTTTTTCTTTGCATTCTCATCTTCTTCCATGAGTTTTAAGTGAAATTGTTATATTTTCTTGGTTGTTTTAATATTGCTTTCAATTTTTTCTGCTTTAATTTGTTGGTTTGTGGTTGTAAGTATGTTGCATGGACGAAATTCCTATGTTGAATCCCACTTCTTATTCGTCTCCTGTGCACAAGACGGTAGATTCGTCTCAATTTTGTATTGATAAGTCGTATTATTAAAGGGCACAACCAAAAATTTCTTTGGCCATATACCAGCAAAGACCTCAAAATTCAATTGGGTATGATGTAGATTTCTTCATCTTTCATCTATACCATTTTGCAAAGTACAAAAAATTATCATTTGTAAACCCTAAATGTTAGACCAAATAAAATGTTTTTTTTTCCAGTAATGACATCATTGGCATGGAAAATTGTGGAAAGTCTATGACCGAAAAAAAATTGAACTTATGTGCTTTTTTTTTTATATTTGAGAAATTTAGTAATGTAAGTTGTATTTTATTTGGCCCCATTTCACTAAACAACTTGCTAATTGCAAATATTCTTAAGGATTCATTCAGTAAAGAATACAACGTTCTATTTACTACTTACAGGAAACGGACGTATGGCCACCTCTGTTCATCCTTCTTTGCCATTTTACGAGCAACTTCCAGACTCTTTGGTATGATTATATACTTTTCTACTTTCAATTTTCAATTTTTTTTTAATTCTTCTTTGTTTAATATGCATGTGTCCTGCAAATATGCTGATCTTGATCATTATTTTCGAATTTAAAAGCTCTATATGCATGTTATATATTTTTTTCTGCGTTTTTCATTGCCTAATTGCACCATGTGAAAGGAGAAATTCATGTCTTTATGTATGTTCTTAGAAGTAATAAAAACTTTTGAATTTTATGGTCTTAAACTAGATATATATAGGTTGTGTCAAAATGCCTTTTTGATTTTGTGGTCTTTAACATGTCATATGAAAATTTAGAAATAAAGAGTTGCTAAAAAAGTAGAGAAATTATTCTAAACGAATTAAGAAGAAAAGTAATACATACAAATTGAGACGGAGAGAGTAAAATGTGTTCTAGTATCCTCTAGCAATACAAAATTTATTACTTTTTAAGAAAAATTATTGTGAATCACTTATTCGATAAAAGTTCCTTCGAACTTAGAACAAATATAATAGTTCATTGATTCAAAGTACATATGTAACATGTTATTCACATACACAAACTACTTCCAACGACGTTAAGAAGTCAAGTGTAAGGCTTAAACCCTAGAAGTTCAAGGTAATAATTCGTTAAATAGGACTTATTCTCTATGGCTACTACTGTCTACCTAAGAGTCTTACTTTGCGCTTCTCTCTACATTCCAAGGTGAAGAGTCTCTCTGAACTTGTTGCAGGGGCAGTATAATTACATTAAGTTATTTCACTCACTTCATTGTGTTAGGAATTAGTGTATGCTTCAACTTTAGCCATCTTACTATAGAAGGAGATTTACCTGTATATGATCTTTCTTCAAACAGTTAAGACTTCATTTGAACTGTTAATTTAAGTTATTAATCAAATGGTGTTCCACAGTATCAATTATATCTAACTTAAATATGTTATTCCTTTCTTTTCTCTCTTTTGACTAAAACTTTTAGTAGATGTGTTGAGTAGGAAGGAAAATAATAAAAAGAAGGGGATAAAAGTCTCTTTCTCACTATTGAAAGTTTTCCAAATGACCCTAAAGACTTTTTCACGTTCAATGGGAATAAACAAGCTATGAAATGAAGTTACATGACGTTATTGTTGGTGACTCTATAATAAAATTTCACTCCTTAAGAAATACTATTAGGATTTTTTTAGAGACATTATAGTACCTTGTTTAATCAGTTATCCTTGCATCTTCTCCTTTGATGCATTTATAAAATACTCTTGATTCTATATTTAACAAGTAATATTATTCCTCTATTTTATATGTTATTAAAAAATGTTGAAACATCAATTTAGATTTCGAGCACCACGTTTTCAAATCTTACTATTCTCCATTCCAATTGATCTTGGAGTTGCACTTCATATGTGGAAGTAGAAAGTTGAGAATACAACAACACACCTTCGAAAAATGAAGAAGGTATCATTGATTGTGAAAAGGTCCTATATTTCCCCATTTCAGATGAAGAAACACTACATTTTCCTTGGTAATTTAGGTAAATATTTTAATAAGTGATTCACACATTACTCTTCAGCTGCTTATCTTTCTATGTTGTACAGATAACCTATTAAAGGAACTATTGTGGAAGAAGAGCACACCAGATGGCTATATCTCTTTTGTGCGCCTTCTTGCGGATTAACGCTATTGTGGTACTATGCCCCTTTCAACTGCTATTTATCTTTTCCAATATTACTACTGCACCAAATATATGAATGTTGAGTGGTTAAATGCAAGATTCCCATCGGATAATCAACTAAGTTTCGTCCCTGGAAACATTTTGATTTGGTTTTGAGAACACGGGAAGACATCATCTAGGATTTGAAAGTGCATCTCATTTTTTGAGGAATTTATTTCATCATTGTGTTAATGAAAGTCAAATTAATGGGAAAAGGGAGGAGCACAATGACCTTCTAAAGGAATATAATCTTTTTTTGATTAGTTCAGAATTTCAAATTATAAATAATGAGAACAATTGAAGCAACAATTCTGTAGTGTACAACAAGTACTTTTCTTAATGCTAACAATATAACCTCAAACTTATTTTGCACTTCCACTGGAATTGTAGCTTTATTTGCTTCTTCTCTCTGACCGCTTTTGCCCATAAACCGTAGGGCATTCAATGATGATCATGACTAGAAAAAGTTTGCTAAGCAAACTTCTCATTGTCTGTTGTAAAATAGAAATTCATGGATATATTAAGTTGCTAATACACTTTTCTTTACTTTGTATCACTTCTATGTGATTGTAGGTATATCATATGTGGACAAAAAATAAGTCTATTCCCTTTTGAAGGAGTTTGGTTTCTTTGATAATTACCAGATCACAGTTAAAAAGCCATACAGAAGAACTGATCATTTTGAGAAAGTCCTTACATGGTTTTCAAAGACTTTAATAGTGAAAAAAAGGTGAAATATATGGAAACAATTAACAAGTAGGCACCAGGCAATAACTGTTGGTATAGAGACAACTTCCAAAACAGTCTGCACTTATCATCCAAGAACCTCCGACGTTTTGTGAAAAATATTTACTCTTTTATTAACTTAATGTTGTTAATGTGTTCCCTTTGCCAACGTGTACAAACTTATTCTCCCTTTAATCATCTTTTGTATTTTGTTTGCCAGCTGCAAATCACCAAGTTCGACCAACTCAACCTCAAGATAATTTCAACAAAAGAAAAATTATACAATCCTCTAAGCATTTCTCAAACAAGTAAGCCCGCTTTTTGCATTACGTTTCCTGTATGACCTATTTATCGAAACATTATTGTACATTTTTCATTGTTACTAAAACATTACCAATCTATTTTCTCTAACGAGTATAACTTCTAACTTATCTAAATTTTTCTACTTACATTTCAACTTCAACCTTTAAACATGTTATGCATTTTGATTGTTAGCTGCGAGCCACGAAATTCATGAGACTCAAATTCTAAAAAATTTAGACAAAGGAAAGCAAGTATGCAGCCTATCACTATCTTTGAAACAGGTAAGCATCTTTGCCTTACATTTTTCAGTATGCCATATTGATAATAGTTTATTATAAATTGAGATTGTTTGCATATAAGGGTGCATGTTCGATGTGTATACTCAGCATCTTGCGACCTTAAATATAGTTCCAACCAAAAGGTTTACGCTATGTCGATGCTCCAATAGTATGTACGTCACCTATTACAGAACAATGAAGCGAGTAATACGGTTCTAAAAAAAGGTTCCAAACTATTCATATTGTGGCACAAAAAAAATTTAATAGGAAAGAAAAATCTAAAAATTTTCGAACTTATATCAGAGCATACAATAATATGTTTATGTTCACTTCGTTTGGTGTTAAGTATGATAAAAAATTGGCGAAAAAAATTTGTGGTATGTACACATTTAGGGAGCAACTACATATGTATCACTTCATAGATGATTTAGTTGTTTCCAACGAAACACCCAAGAACTTCCAATTATATTTCTATGACCATGAGAATGAATTGGGTAACAAAATGACCAAAAAACCCAAACTATTAGAGGTAAGCTAATGTCAAAGAGGGTCTAAGAAGTCATGGTACTTCGCCCTTCTGCTTCATCTTCAGTTTACTCAAACTTATACTCATTATCATTTGATTAAAGTTTAAAGGTATACAATGTATCAGGAAATATTTTGACAGCGTCAATTGTTGAGCCTTTTATGTGATAAAACAAAATATAAAGAAAAGTATATGATGTACAAATCAAAAAGAAAAATCTATTTATAATATCTTGAGATTGTTTCCTATTAAGGTATTCAAAGAAGGAAATAATGTGATTGACTTCTCTTTTGTTTACCTATTTTGATTAAAATAAAGATAAATTCTCCTTTCACTCCACACTGTCATTTTATTTAACAAAAGAAAAAATAACTTGAGACCTGAAGAGGTATTCCTTTCTTATGAATTTATCTTGAGTTGCAATTTTTTGATTAATTTTATTTAATTTTTTCTAAGAGCATCCCATTTTCCATCTTGAATCTAAATCTTCTAACTATACCATCTTGATATAAATATGCAATTTGTGCAAATACTGAAGTTGATATCTTAATAGGAACCTGTCCCAACTATTTGTGATGTTTTTCTTTTCAATAATATGCAGGAACAACAGATAGTACATTCACGCATTGAGAAGTAACATCTGGAAGGAAGGAGTTGAAGAGTTGTTGTTCCAATGACACATTGCAATTGCTGGCATACTACCTTTTTTCTTTTTTTAAGTTTTTTGTTTCTAACTTAGTTGATTGTCCCTTTAACAAAATCATTTATAACTTGAATACACTTCGTTGAAAATTGTTATTTATAGTTGGAATAGATTCCAAATTACTTTGTTTACAACAAGTTTATCATATTGGGCCCGTGCTTTGCATGGGCTATACTCTTCTAGTATATTTACAGGGTAACTTTCACATATAGCAAAAAAAAAATTATATTTGTATGCTATAACAAAGTTTGCATAGTTGCGCTCCATAGCAATCATAAAACTGTATAATTCGCTGGCCTAGTTCGTTGCAATTGTATAATTCGCAATTCTATTTCACTGCAATTGTATAATTCACAATTGTATAATTCGCTGCCTATTTTCGCTGCAATATTTTTATAAAATTTGCTTTGCATACAATTGAATTGAATTAAAATGTATGTATATTGCATAATTATAAGTGTATAGCAAGAAGATATATGTTTTTCTCTCGCTTTATACAAAAACAGAAAAACAATATATACACTTCTGTTGTATAAAGCTAGAGAATTGTATTTCACTGCAATTGTATAATTCGCAATTGTATAATTTGTTGGCCTTTTTCTCTGCAATATTTGTATAAAATTTGCATTTGTCTACAATTGAATTGAAGTAAAATATTTGTAAATTGTATAATTAAGTGTATAACACGAAGATATATGTTTTTGCATGTGTATATACAATTTTCTCTCGCTTTATACAAAATAGAAACAAAATTTATACACTTCTGTGTATAAAGCGAGAGTGGCGAGCGAGAATGGGAGAGTGGCGAGCGAGATTTTTGGGAGAGAGGCGCCTGACAAACTTTGACTAACGTTTGCTATGGAGCACAATTAAATCAAACCCTAGCTACTCCATTTATTTTAGGTTATTAGTTTGCTATTATATACAATTTCCCCTATTTACAAACCAAACCAAAGATGATATAAAATTAATAACATGAATAAAAAAATTATTTATGTAATAGGTGTAGTATAAACAAGTTATCAAATTATCCCTTAGTTGCAAATGTTTCCAAAACAATATACTTATTGATATAAAATAAAATTTGATCGATATAATGTGATTTTCTAACCAAGAGTATTTAATTGAACATCCTACCACCACTGTAGCTCGTATCCTGTCATGCTCAATTTTGATTTGCTGGCTTAACAAATAAATAAGAATTGTACTTATTCTTCAATAAAATAACTTTTGGGAAATAAATTTCCTTAATGTCAAGCAAACTTGATATGTAATTAATATATTATATCTCATATAAGACTTCCAATCAAATCTCTTATATTTGTAACTTTTTAGTGTATTACTCTCTCCGTTTCATAAAAAAATAATCTATTTTAACTTGACACGGGCTTAAGAAAATAAAGAAGACTTTTGATCATGCGGTCCTAAATTAAAGTTATGCCAAATGTATAAAATTGTCCTTTAATTTTGTGATCTTAAATATGTCACGTAGAAAGTTTTTTAAAATAAGAGATCCTTCTTTTTGAAACAAACTAAAAAGTAAAACGAAAAGGAGGTCATACTTTTTTAAACGAAGGGAGTATAACATTTTAAGAAATATATTACTTTAGTATAATACTAATTTCATCTTGAATTAATAATATTTTTTTTCCTAATTTTCAACACTTTTAAGTGATATAACTTTTAATTTAAAAAATACTTCATATTCAGATTCATCAATATTTAGAAAAAAAAAAGTATTATCAGACAATTATTGTGTTACATCCCGAGACCACACCCTAGATGATATGACACTTTCAGAGTGCAACCGGCGTACTTGAGCTCTCGGAGGTCTTGTACAAGCCATTCCGTATCGTTCATCGCATATAAACATATGAAAAGTAGTGCGAAATTAAAACTTTTCACAAACATTCTATAAGTCTTTAAAAATATCTTTCATATAAAATTCATAGGAAATACTAGGTCTTATTTCATCAAATCTCACAAGAGTACTTTGGGACACTGCCCATGCACAATAGAAATATTATACTACTAAGTCTATTACAATACTTCAAAAGTGAAATAAAAGCCATCTATGCCCTCGAGTCAAATGAGGACATACTTCAACTTGCTTGAACGATCTTCTAATCCAAGCTTAGCTCCTAAAATCACCTTCACCTATGAATCATTTTAGAGATAGATAAAAGCATGGTTAGTGCAAACACATGTACTAAGTATGACATAATGCATAAAAATCATGAAAATGGAGATTTATTGGAAATATGCACCTTTTGACTTAATATAATATCACAAGCATAAGAACCACATTTAACACCTTAGAAATACATAAAAATCATGTGAGCAATTTAAAACATTTTAAAGAAATCTTATAGTGACATATATCACTGTTACAGTGAAAGTGAAGTTTCTTAGCTTCACCATAGACATTTTATCTCATGCAATTTCCTCACTATAAGCTATCCTAACTCACTTAAGTAAGACAAAGAGATACCGCACATACACACTCTCTAGGCACACTTAAATGTTCCTTAAGACCACCCATAATGAGATACACAGACTTACAACACACCAACCACATGAACATGAGATCCTCCTACCAAAGGTGACTGTAAGGTTCACTTGAGTGAGTTGTGAAGCGACCGCCCATACAATCCCTTACACACACACTTAAGAGATCCTATAGACTACCTAAGGTAGAATCATTCTCAATTAATACAACAACATACATATAAAATGACATTCTCCCTTCCAAAAGTTATCAAAAGACTTACTTAAGTGAATCAAGAAGATAACGTCCATGATTGACTTCTTCAAGATTACCTAAATAAGATTTAAGACTACCTAAGTTTGGATCGTGTCTACATAGTCAACAAACTTCCCTAACTAGAGTCATTCTTAAGACTTATCTAGGTAAGATACGAAGTGACCATTCCTATGCCCCCTTCACACTTTAACTAGACAACCCTTAACTACTCTAAATAAGTACTTCTTCATTCAACATGCTTCCTTTAGTTAAGTCATTACATTCACTATTTCATTTAAGACTCATTCATCGCATAAGTACATTCAAGTAATGGTCTTGGAGAAGACCTAGGAACTCTCACTAACATCTTCAAAGCATATTGTTCAATGTCTAGATAGCGTCCCATACCACCACCTAAACTTCATAGAACTTCTCTAATGCTAGTAGGTATCCCACATGATGAGTATAGACAATAATCGCCATAGACCATGATAACTAAACATGGAATCCGGAGTTCAAACCTACTCCGATGAGGGTGTTCTACTTGTTAAGGGTAGAACTAAGACACATCCCATGTAGGCACATGGTTAAGGAATTTGAAGGGCTTTTATGTACTCTAGTCTCATTCTCAAGTAGAGCTACTTCCCATAACATACTCACTCGGTGTTAGCCTTTGTTCTCATAGAGTAATTGACATTAAAGGATCACATGTAGAGGTTCCATAACTAGTGCATAACCAATCACATTCACCTACCAAAGAGGTCCACTAGGGCTACCTTACAATGATGACAGAGATAGTTCATCATGACTTCCTAAGGATGATATGATGCCGTTCCAGCTAATCAACCTTAAGTCCATAATTCATACAAGAAGTATACCATTACGATTTTTGACTTCAATGTTCATAACCTTATCACTATGTTCAAAGTTTCACATAAATGACCTTCTTAATATCATCAAGGTATCATATCATTCATACATTCAAGACTAAGAGGCTTTAGAATCCTAAGTCAAGACATCTCATATTCACATTCAAACATGTTTCAAGTAAGGGACAAGTCTACCACACAAGACACACCATACTTAACACATAACCTTTAGTATGTCATTCTAGAAACACATATGCACAACCAAAATCATCTTTAGGTCATCCTATCCACTGCTATAACATCATCAATATAACCATTATAGACTCATATAGCCAAGTAGGAACAATCATGTATTAATCCAAGAGAATGGTGGATAGATTATGGTGCCTCATGCCATGTTTGTGCCAACAAAGAATTATTTTCATCATATACTCCAGCACTTACAGATGAAAAATTATTTATGGCAAACTCCGTTGTTGCAAAGGTGGAAGGAACTGGCATAGTCCTATTAAAGATCATCAGGCAAGGTGGTGACTTTGAATAGTCATAGTCTAACATGATCACCTAACCACATCAATAGAAGAACACATACATTAACTTAAATCACAACTAGATAAACATGATCATACTTTCACATTATCAACTACACAAATCATCAAAATACTTCAAGTAGTTTGCCGACAAGGCCATGATCATCATAATACATAAAGTAATGCCGACAAGGCCACATCAAGCAAGTAAAGCACATAGCACCACCACCATAAGTGGACCATACCAATCACAAAATAATTCAAGTCTAATTGACATAAAATAAAGGTGATTAGGTCATCGTACCACCAATCCATTCTCACCACTTCAATCCATAGCTAAATCATCTAATTCAATATCATAAGACCCTTACCATGACCATGAACATCAATTCAATAGATAAACTATAATAATCAATGAATCTAGGTCAATTAAATATATATTTATCAATCTAAGACTAATTAGACATCAATTAAATATAATTATTACATCATTCAATAGCCCAAAGAAAGCTACACTAGAATTCATAAGCATTAAGAAAATATCACTTAACCCATAAAATAGTCAAAAACTAGGGTTCATCAATTACATGGGTTCATAGGTTAATTGAGTTAAAATCATCTAGTTAAAAACAAATCAATCAATATACAATGATTTACAACCTTTAATGCAAGAACCCATGGATAGATCATAAAATTGGATAAGTTCATTTTTGAAAACTTAAGAAAACTCTTTTAATGTTGGGCTCCTTGATGAATAGAGTTTCAAGGATCTAAATCCATACCTAAATGATGTTAATCCACCAATTTGATGAAGAATCACCACTCAATTCTCCGATCCAAGCTCTTCCTTGAGTTTTGGCTTCAATAGATTTCTAGAGAATTTCTAGGATATTTTTGGGTTTTTGATATTGAAGAATGAATTCTCCTAAGTGTTTAAGACATATAAACATGTTTAAAATACCCAAAGTACCCCTAAGTAACCGCCTAAAGTCTTATTTGGACGTGGGGGTGAATATACCACTTCACCCCTAGAATTAAATGTA